AGGTAAAATAATTAATTTGCTTTCTTTCTAAGGTAGTTAGGGATGTAATATGTATGATACACAACATTTGCTTTATTGGACAGGAGATTAAAAGTATTTTCTTAAAAAAAACAAGGAAAGTAATGGAAATGGAAAATAGTTGAACAAAGCTGCAAACTGTTGAAAAAAAAAATCTGTAATTAAAGTTTTAGTTCTCCAAAGACTGCAGGTTTTCAGTAAAACTCCATGTAATGTAGCCCTAACACAAAACAAGCAGGCTTGAAATAACATTTCGTTTCGCTACAAATGGAGTAGAGGTTTCACAGATCACAAACTATGTTTAAAAGACTATTTCGTCAGTGTAAAAGGATCCAGTCCAAGTTTCACCAGTCTAAATATTTAGATTTTTCAAGTGATGGTCGTTGGACTGAATTTATGTGGCACTTGTCTAGAAGTACAGATGACTCAATGCATTTTATTCTAAAGCCACATTCATCCAATCACACTTACAAACACGTGTGAATTCATACACCAATGCGCAGATTGGTGGGCAACTTGGAGTCATGTGTCTTGCCCAGGAGCACGTCAATGTTTGGCAAGAGCAAACCGGAACCGAACCAAAGGTTTGGATTGTAAGATGACTACCACTTACCCACAGCTGCCCCAAAGATAAGAAAATGAAGCAAATCATATGTCCACTTCTGTGTTCTGACTGAGGGCCAAAATAAATGTGAAATATTTTCTTATTGTGTCACCCAGTCATGTTGACAGCAAATGGAAAAGACTGAGAGACTTCCTCTGGGTGGGAAATGTTGTAAACAGACACGGGCTGGAACGTCACTGCAAGTATAGTGACACTTTCAAAAAACATAGTTTTAAAAAAGCAGAAAAAAAAATCTAAGGGTTTTAAAATCATAACTTTTACAAACATTGTTACACCTAAATCACTGCAGTTTTAGGGTATCAGATTGTCTTGTTTTTAACGTGAATGCAGTACGGCACCCAACAGGTTGAATAAAACCCATTGTGTTGACAATGCACTAAAAGAATCACATGCAGTTATGTAGAACTGTGTAACCAGAGCTCCTTTCCATGGCATGTAAGCACACGTTTCCCCAGTTCTTGACCTGGGAGTGTTAGAGTTCCATTTCTCTTTCAGCTTTTAGCAGCAACTTATTAACTGCATGTGAAGCTTTGTTAACTTGATAAAAATGTTGTGTGAGCTTTGTTTTTGACTAGTTTTTTTTTTTTTTTTTATGTGTTTACTTATTGATGACTGGATGTGGCTTTTCCACAGAGTCTGACTGACACCGGCCTCTGTGTTAACATTTAGCCTCAGCCATAAGCTAGATGTTTGACCTCACCCCTGCATGTGACCTGTGACACTATGAGGCTTGCCGTGCTGAAAAACAAAAACGCTACACACAAATACACTGACAGCCTTGGTGGAATCTGGCCAAAGTTCCACATGGAAATGCCCATAACTGTGTCTTTATGCAAATCTTCACCTTCTACTTGACTCACAGGCAAACAAGTATGTTTTCATCAAAGGTGATTAATAGTCAGCGTTAATGGCTGGGTGGGGAGATACCTTGGCTTTGATGATGAGTATATTCCACTGAGATCATCGTTGTAATTTTTTGAAGCTGGTGATGCCACGGCATTTTTTTTTTTTTTTTTTGCAGAGTTCACTTTACTTGTTAAAAGTATACTATACTGCAGAGCATTATAATCATAGATATGTTATCTAATGACAGTCAAAGAACTTACTGTGTTGCTCTCTTTCTTTGAAGAAACACATATTTTGTACAACAAAGATTAGGCATGGGTGAGTATAGGATTCTTAAAATTATAGACTAATGCCATATGATGACTATATGAACTTTGAGTAGAAATAAGGTTTTGCTGTTCAGTGGTATAAAAACATAAAAAAAAGCAAAAAATGAATTGGATATTATCCCTTTTATTTGAAAAAGAAAGCAGTAGTTATTCCTTGTTGTTGCTGAAGTAATGAAACATTGATAATTATGCATTATCTGTTAGATTTATTGTTATTTTTATTGTAATATAAACAGAGACAAGAGAGAACACAGTACATCACATTTGTGAATGTGTGAAGGGACTTTAACTGAAATAAAATGCCTAATATAAAAAGCCAATACCACAAAACTGAACTTATCTCAACACCATCAATTATTAGTGAAACTATATTGCTCATCCCTAGATGCAAATTAAATCAGGAGGCCTGATCTTGATTTTGAATAGTGATAACTGATGGCAACCAAACCTTTTATCTAATCAGTAAGTATTTGGATATCTTTAGGTTTTGATTGAACAAAAGAAATGACAGGAGTTGAACAAACTGTTTAGATTTTCTTTTAGACGTGGTATTCTGTGGTGCCATCAGCAATCAGTCCCTCACTTGCAGTAGACAGATGACTTCAGTTTGTTGACTAGGATAGAAGTCGTCAAGGGAAACTTGAACTAAGTTTCATTAGGAATCTGTGGTGTCTTAAAACAACTCTTAACAATTCAATTCAAAAGAGACAGAACTGTAGCAGTGTACAAGGCAGTAGAAATACAGTTTGCTATGTTTGTTCCAAACATGGCCAAGTTTTTTTTTTTTGTAATTTTTTTTTATTTAAGACATTGTACTAAGCTGTCTGGCTACAAGCCAACAGCTCAAGCAATTACTCCATGACTTATGGTTCATAGGAACAGAGGCTTCTCTGACTGGCCTCACTGTGGATTCATAGCACTTTCGGGATGCGCTTGTGATCCCGTGATTAGCCGGAACGGCTCTACTTGTGGGCGTCGGGAACTGCTGGGAACTAATGGGTTAAATGACATATGGTTATGAAGCTTGGGAAGGAAGCTGTGAATAAAGTGGGGGTGACCTCTGAACAGTCTGACCCGAGTGACATTGATTAAAATTAGAATGTGAAGTGTGTACGGTGGCATGGATCAGGATGACAGGCAGATCTAATGCATGGCTGCAGGGGAACTCGTACTGCTGCCATCAACTGAAAGAGGGGACGTGGTGGCATTATTACGATGCTAAACATTTCATCTTATCAGAGACCTTTTGTTCAGATTAAATCTTGCATTTATCAAATAAAAAAAAAAGAAGAGATGCACTGTTTAACCTGTTATTAGGAAACTCTTTATTTGTGGCTCTTTACATGAAAGATCCAGGAAGGCTCGACTCCCTGCTCATATTTTTTGCTTGCTTTGGCCGATCGTTCCTAGTTAGTGCATTGTGTTTAACCGCATCCTGTTAACAGCCAGACATAAATGGGTCAAAATTAATGGTCAACTGTGTCTCAAGTGTCCTCGGCCTGGCGGGGCGCTTTGCGTGCTGCATTGACTTGGGTGGACTTGCGCGCATGAGGGGAAGCTAGAGGCGGATGGGGGTAGGGTGAATGGCATGCGTTGGGTTTTAGAAGAGAAGGAGGAGGGGTGTCGAGGAGACATGCTGTTCATTGGCTTCATGTTGCAAAGAAAAAAAAATGCTTATGGCTTTGCTGCATGACTGGGCATTTGTGACAGCTAAAGTCCTGCCTGTCACATCTGCTGGGAGCAGTGTGCTGTCAGCCACAAGACTGGTAATCAATCACTTATGGGGTGTGGCTAAAGAAGCAGTTTCAATGAAACAAATTCAGGCTTTGGTTGAAGTTTTTCCATAAATAAATGGAAGATTAAAAAAAAAAAGCCATAACTCAATCTAGGACATTTTATTGACAGAAGTTGTAAACTGCCCATTTTCAAACTGACAAACTGAGATACGGCTCCAGGGAAATGCAGAGGGAAGTAACTACCCGACAAGGTTTTAAAGGATGTTACCTGTAGGTTAATGACTTTCTATGTTGAACTATCCTTTTAGTAGAAATGGGTTTTTGGGTCATTTTATGTAACAGGTTTCTAACGGAGGTAGATTTTACGCCATTGGCTTGTTTGCTGAGAAGAAGCAGTGGACAGATTCTTACACGAGAAGCTAGAACCTGCGTAAAAGAGTTGTCACTTTTGTTCTATGTTATGTTGTTGCTATCATACTGGATCTCCTTATGACTGGCTGCAGGTCATCTTCTTTGACCTGGGAGGCGCCTTACAGCCCTAATGACTGGCCAGCCTGGCAGATTATTTAGGTTACATTTATTGGATGGAGCGACATAACAAACCAGGGACTGTCCTGAGTAGTTTAAAAAAAAAAAAAAAAAAAAGATTTTTTGTTGTTTTGGTCTTTACAGCATTTCTGAAATTACACTGAATTTGTTCAGGCTGTGTCTAGGAGAAGTAAAATAATCCTATTACATAACACGCTGCTCAAAATAGCAATGACAGCAGATAAATGCAATCCTGTCAGCAAACACAGAAAACTGTTAAAGGTTAAATATTACCTCAGTGTTACGGTTTGCACAGCTAGTGTAATGATTAATCTTTCGTCTAATATGCAGTACATTGAAAAAAATATGCATATATCATTACGCTGAGTCAGATTTCCGACACAAAAGTTTTTGAACAATATCTGCATTTTATGTGGTAGGCTACTAAAATGAAAATGTATAAAGTTAGAGGGAAATAAATGTTTTTTAAATGATTTTACAAATGGATGGAAAACTAATCCAGATAAAAGTGGAATGGTTTAAATTAAAGCACATAGATGTATTCGAATGACCTAGTCAAAGTCCAGATGTTGAATATTTCTATTCAAACATGAACTTTTCTTCCATGCTAAACTTAAGCTATATTAGATAAAAGGATGGTCAAAACAGAAATGTTAAAGCTATATTTTGTTTTCCTTTGACTCCTCAATAAAACGTTGCTTTGTGTACATCTGTCACATAAAATCACACACAAAAATAAAACAATAAAAAAAATAAATCACGCCGTCATTTGCAATGAAGCGTTACAAAGTTCGTGGAAAGTCAATAGTTTTGCAGGGGACTGCAAAGATATTCTAGCTTTTAAAAATGTTCCTAACAGTTTCACACTCATATTTCTTCTGTTTTTATCTTTGGCAGTACATAAAGATCCCAGCACCGACCACTGAATCTCCAGATGGATTCAGAGTCTTCTCATTTTACCTTTCCAGTGACAGCAAAGACAAGCCTCAGTCCAGCTTTGACTGCATTCACCAGTTTATCTCAGGGTGAGCAGCACACAGAACTTTTTCCACTGTCGACCACAAATGGAATTTAAAGTAAATGTGGTGTCAGGCTGCAACCGCGGGGCTTGACCAAACACTGGCCTCTCTCTTCAACCTCACAATAATGGACAAAACGCCTGCCGGGGCCAAATTCGGCTTTAATAATAACCTGAGGGCTGTCAAGCCACATCGGACCTCAAAGGTGTGACCATTGACGACAGAGAAGCAGCATTTCTGGCTTCACAGAGTCAATGGACTTCTTCAGAGATTACATCAGCACCAGAGTCTTTAGCCTCTAAAAATTAGAACCCCTTGCTTTAGAGGTCAGAAGAGGTCAATTTGCTTCATGTGGTTCATAGAACTTGTTGTGTTTTGCAAGAAGTTAGTGTGCACTCAAGCAGTCCAAGAATTCTGTCACTGGATTTAATTGTAAAACTAAAATACTACCAAATATATGAGCACATCATTCCTTTTGCTGCTTTAGACAAATGTAATGTTGGCTAAGCTGCAGGACTCAACTTGTTGTTTTTTTTTGTTGTTGTTTTTTGTTTTTATGTACAGGGAGGGCAGGGATCACTTGGAGAGTAAGGGGAGCATTCAAGACAAGATCACCGTTTGTGCCACAGACGACTCTTACCAGACCACACGCGAGCGCATGTCACAGGTGGAGAAGGACATCTGGAGCCGCACAGCGATTGAGATCAAGCCAGGACCAAGTAAGTTTTGGAGTTAAGAGTTTCAAAGTTCTCTTACATGTTCTAGCATTAAAGGGGTAGTTCAGAATGTTTATATTTTGAAGTGAGGCTATATTAAAAGGTACTAAGCAGGTAATATCTCACCAGTAGAAGATAATCGTCTTAAGGTCTTCATTTAGTACAAATTCTGAATCTCTCTAATGACTGACTTTTATGGTCTAAAGATGACTAAAAATCTCAAGACTATCGTAGTAAGTTCATGTGAATGTAATTTTATGAAGATTTATAATGTCATCATCCACTGATGATTATTTGTCATACTATTTAAAGATCTGGCTCCAGGTATTTAGAAGTATCCTTTTAATGCATATTTTGGTTAATACAGATAACTTGAAACATTTTACTGCTTCCAAGTCATTCCTTGCCACCAATTTCCCTTGTCAACAATATTCATTTTAAGCAACAGATATCTCATATTTGCTCTAAGAGGTTTATTTACAATTATTTATGCAAATAAATAATGTGCATGGAAAATCTGGCTAGATATTTGTCTGAAATCTAGCCAGTCCAATTTATTCTGGCATGTTACCAATTTCCAACTCAGATTTGTTGATAAAAACAAAATTTGCTAAAATAACAGAGGCCTCACAATAATAAAGGTAATTCCACTCTTGGAAAGTTAATTGTTTTTAACATTTAAAGGTGTTGGAAAAAAAATTGTGTCTAGCTGTTGCATTATGCAACGTGTAAATTTATTTCTAGTTGCTGAATTTACTTGATGAATGATGGGGCAAATTTCAAAAATTCCTACTGAGCATCATGCAGGAATATGGTTTCCCATTTTACTCAAACATGTCTTCTTCTGCACATCGGGAGATTCATTTAAATGGGTTATGGCTCCCAGTTTGAGCCACATGGCAGGGAAGAGTGCACAGTTGTTTTGTGGTCACGTTCTGTCTTTTTATGGTACAGTAATGCTACACTTCTCAGAAAAAAATGCCTATACACCAAGTCACAATTATATACTGCAGTAAAGAAGAGAAGAAAAAAAAAGTTGACCATTTAGATAATAGTGTGTGATTTTAATGCATGGAAATGAAGACCTGGCAACTACATTGAAGACTTTGTAAGCACCTGGTGCTAAAATAAGTAAAGAAAAAAAAAAAGTACATTGAAAGCTATCCCCAGTAATATTACCACATGGCTAACAGATGCTAAGCTTATTGTTTGGCTAGTTCTCAGAAACACTTCCACAGTACGGTAAAGTTTCAAAGCAGTACAAACAATTATGACACAAATATGTCCCTCGAGCAGTTCTAGTTTAAACTTCTGAAGGGATGTCTCTAGTTGCTGCTTGTTTGAAATGTTGCACTGCATGTTTTAGTCAGAGCTGAATAGCTCCATTACTTGGTCTAAGGTAAGTGTTAACCATACGGTCTTTTAGAAACCTTCAACTTCGAGCAGCGCCTTGCAAAGGTATTTATACATCCTGGAGTGTTTGAGCATTTCTTGCATTGTAACCAAAAACTATAATGTTGTTTATAGGGATTTTATGAACAGAACAGCTGTACTGAATTTAAATTAAGCAGTGGATGAATTTTTAAATTTAAATAGCTGACTTAGAAGGCAAGAAAATCTTTATAATGTAAAAAAAAATAAAATAAAATAAGTAAGTTTCAGGAACACAAATGCTTTTGCACGACCCTGTATATTTCCAATTGTTTGAGACAATAACACCACCAGGATATGTAAATAAAGTCAAGTATCAACCAAGCTCTCTCTGTTGACACACAGTTTTAGACTTTGACCTTTAATAACCTTCAAACCAATGTATGGCTTAGGATTGTAATGAGATTACTGTCGGCAGACATCCACAAGAAGTGACCTGGGTCCAGTTGAATTAGTTCTGTAACATGAAGAAAACCTTCTCTGAGCTAATTGCTTTAGTTTCCCCACCCTACCTGTTTACTTAGGAGAAGCCCATTCTACTATCTCATCATTACACTGGTGCAGCCTCTACACACACAAAAAGAAAAAGAACATGCATGAGCTCGGCATTGAGCTCTGTGCATTAATGCATGTAAACTACTTTTTCAGACTGCCATGTAAATTCAGTCTTATCTGTCACACCTCCATAAAGTTGATTCCATTAAAACAGAAGAGATAAAATGACAAAAACGTATTGTCTGCCTGTCATGTGTGGGCTTGACTTAGAAAATTAGGGCATGATTTGTATATCTACCCTCAGGACAGGATCGGGAATGATAAGAGCCTTGTTTTCTCAGGATACTTTCACTGCCTGAGTCCTGTTATCAGATGAGTTGAGAGCATGTTCCTCTTTAGTTGAGCGCAGTATTTAGCCGAATCAAACAACTTGAGATTATTGGAGTAATACCCACTACCTCTAATAAACTTGATCTCTTTAAAAACTCTTTATCTACTTTATTAATAGGTAAGTGTGTGAAGGTGCAAAGGAAACAGGGCCTGGTCTCCAGCTCCGACAGCAGTAATAAGCACTCCCCCAGCAACAAGAGGCCCCTGCTCCCCAGCCCGGTGGCACATCGGCCCTTAAGGGATCGCATCATTCATCTCCTGGCCCTAAAGCCCTACAGGAAGCCTGACATGCTACTATGGCTAGAGAGGGAGAGGGCCAGCCCAAAGGACAAGGCTGATCTGACCTCTGTACTAGAGGAGGTAGGAGACTGGTGGATTGATATATTGCAATTAGAAATTAAAAAAAAAAAAATGTATCTTAGACAATGAGCAAATTTAAATGCCTTTGGGGTCTGGTATAACACTGAAAAATTAAACATTATATATAAGAATTGTATAAATCCACCCATGCCTGGTCATCAATTGTGCAAATAAAAATAATCTGATACTATTAGGTCTATGTCAGGCATATTTCCTGTGTTCACATTGTTTGAGGGTCCCAATGCAATCATCAATTGGAGACTGTGCAGGCAGTGGTAACTGTAATTAGCGCTGTGCTTTAATTATCTTTGGATGAGAAGATAGTGTTTTTGACAGGAGAAGGGTTGGGATGGCACAGGCTGGGATTCAAGTCATCGCAGAGACTGTTGGTTGCTTTGGGTATGTTTGTGTTAGAGGGGTTGGTTAGTTAGTTAGTTAGTTAGTTAGTTAGTTAGTTAGTTAGTTAGTTAGTTAGTTAGTTAGTTAGTTAGTTAGTTAGTTAGTTAGTTAGTTAGTGATAAAAATAGTGCAACAGTGCTGTGTCAGAGGTTACAAGTACAGCTAGACTTGTTTCCTGTTAAACTACTTTCTGTCCTATAACGGGAATGTTGGTTTTCCAGGTTGGTAAGCTGAATCCTAAGGATAGCAGCTACTCTCTGAAGGATGAGCTTTACAAACTTGTCCAAAGAGACTGGCCTGGATATCTGGAAGAGGAAAAGCAACTTATCCACAGGCTTCTCATCAGGTGGGAATTCATTTAGGCCAAATATGAAAATTTTGCAAAAGACAAGACAATATTTAAATGTTTTTATTATTATTAATTATTATTATTATTATTATTATTATTTATGATTGTTACATACAGTGTAATTGTAAATATTTTCACTTTTTATACTTTCTTTGCACATAAATTGAAAACTGTTTAGCTTAGCATAAAAGTGTGAGACAGTGTTCAACAACAAATATGACTTTACTTTTAATGCACTAAGAAACTTGTTTAGCCTCTTGTGTAGATCAAGCAGACACATTCTAATACGGTCATCGCTTATTGAGTTATTGTGTGTAGCACTATTGGTGTCAGTCTGCTTTGATATTTTTCTTTTCTAATGCTGCTTCTAAATGACAACTCCTTTGCTCAGAAGAATCTTTTAATCGAGACATCAAAGCAATGGAAAATTTTTCATGCACTGTGCTGCCAAGTGGCAAGACTTGCGAGGCTAAGCAGTTAAGGAGTGATCTTTAAGTGCCTGCCAGAAAACATGGAAGCCATGTGCTCCAGTGCCATTTTGGAAAAAGCACAACTCCCACTAGAATCTTGCAGCACTCCTGCTGAGTGTAAAAGCTTTGCAGTTGTATCCATTCAAATATTTTGCCAAAAACAAAAAAGCTGTGGTTTGAATAAACTTGAAGCATCTTCTCTGTAGTCAGTTTATCTGATAGGCTACTTGTACAAAGCATTCTAAGAACTGTTGGTTATTGCTACTTAGTGGCTAGGAACTCCACTATTACTGTCACTATTAATGAGAAGGCAAGAATTCACTGCAGTAAGTGACTTTTGGTAATGGCATCTGTTCAAGGAAGGAGCTGAAGGAAGCAGATTACCGGGAAAAAAAAAACAAAAAGGCTTTGGCCATAAAGAGGTTAAATATGCAGCTATTGTTTCTCATACGAGTCTGTGTTTAGTCTCTGTGGCCAGCTCCTGTGTGTTATTTTACAAAAACACAGTTGCATAACTTCTGTAATTATTTCTTTTGTGGAAAGACTTCCACCTCTATCTTTTCCTAGCTGTAATTGCTCATCCCATTGCACACAAATTCTGTGTTCTTCGTGTTTTGCTTTATGGGCCATTTACCTTAAAGTTAGTCTAAGTAAAGGTACTGTGTTCTAAATGTCTTCACAGAAAACTTCAGCCACTGCACAACAACCAATCGAGGAGTCCCCAGTCCATCCATTCGTTGCACAAAACTCTTGGGGATTCTCCCTCACGGCTCAGTCCTGCCAAAAATCTCTCAGTGGTAAATATTCATGTTGCAAGATTTGTCTTGTTTTTATTTCCTAATTTTCTTATGACTAAAAATGAGCCATTGCCCTCTTAATCCAATGCACAAACAAAATGCATTAACAAAACTAACTCAAATAGCTCTTACTGGAATCATACAATGGGACATAAAATTACATGGTTAGTTATTTCCCAGAACCAAAAAGTGAATAGATAAGTGATGTTATGTTCTGTTTTATGGAAATGTCTGGATAGGCAACTAGTCTTTAGTCTTTATAGACAAAGAGAAGTATATATTTTAAATCTATAAAACTTTGCATCGATTGCAGGACCAAAGATAAAAAGTGACAGAGTTTTCATCTCCTCTCTGCTTTGCTTTAAATTTTTTGTGTCTCAACAATGATAAAGTTTTAAAAAGACAAACAAAAAAACTCCAGAAGTAATTCAAATGCTTTAAACCTGTTTTTATTTAGTCATATTCACTTATTTGCATATTATTTTTACAGAAATGTATGAATTCATGTCCTAAAACCTGCTTAATAAATGTGTTTCTAATTGGAATATCAAAACAATCTATAAAAATAATAATATTGGTCACTTAGGGAATGTGATTAAAAATTAAGCAACCAATATGCCTCAGATATTGATTGTCTTGGACATACAGACATCAAAGTCGATTGTGTAAAGTGAATTTACCTCTGCTTATTTGATATGAACTTTTCTCAGTTTTTTTCTGTATTCGGTATTTCTTCTAAGCTTACTGTTGCTATTTTTGAATGGTATGTTCATTCTCTAAGGTGAATTCAGCGCTATCTGAAGAATGACTAATTTATCCACAATACTGTAAAAACCCTCTTCGAAATTTTCTAGTAATATTTAATTTGTTTTCTTTCCCCTTCGTTCTAGAAACGGTCACTGGTTTTGGACGCTTCCAGCATCCAAACCCCCAAAAAACAAAAGCTGTCGGAACACTGTCTGCCCCTTCAGTCGCCCTCTCATGCAGACTGTGGCACCAATGGGGCTCGTAACTCCTCCAGTCACGGAAACTCTTGTGCGGCGACAAAAACAGAGTTTGACATAACCAATAATCATCTTCAGGGAAACCCAGTCGGTTTGTACTCGCCGCACAAGCTCAGCATGCCGTGTGCTATTTCCAAACTAGAGAAGACGGAACCGGCTCCCATTTTACCCAGTCCTAAGCCTCGACACAATGGCACCTCTATATGCACTAAACAGCAGCTCGCCAATGGCCAGCACAAAAAGAAAAGGTCCAAGAAACACAAAGACAAGGAGCGAGATCGCTTAAAGCCAGACTGGATTGAGACTAGTCCAGACATGAAGCAGAACCAAGAAAATGTTAAAGGTGAATGCCAAAGTTTTATCAGGTCATAATTTGTTCTGTTTTGCTGTTAAGATAAGGACAAGGTTGTGCAAGAAGGTCGTTTAAAGAAATAATAAACTTTCCAAGATTGAGTTATAAGATTTTTTTGTAGAATTAATAGAGGAGCATTTTATAGAATTTGATCTAAGACAGCAGTAAGAACAGTGACTCTGTTGTCTGTTGATGATTGACTGTGTAACAGCTGGGTGACCTATGGCCGAGCTTGTCAGCAGGCAGATTTACCTCCTGCTTTGCTCTGTTGACGTAACTGCTCACCTTGGCTTGGATCGGTTATCAGAGACACCATTAAATAATTTCTCTCGATATGACAGACTTGTTGCCAGATTATATACTGAAATTAATCTTTCTCCCGAATGTGTCTTTTAAACAGCTACAGACCACGAGCGAGACAAAACACCTGTTAACCGAGCCTCAACTGAAGAACTGCCCGACTATTTCATGTAAGGTTTTAAACATTTTTTTATATTAACCTTTTTTTAATGAGTAAAACGTAGCCAACTTTCTTTACACCAGTTGCCAATTCAACATTTCACAGCGTAGTTTTGAATTTCAGCCTACTGCTCGAAGGAAAAAACAAAGTTTCCCTTAACAGTACGGTTCTGCTTCAACCCATTCAGATAAACAGAGGAAGATTATATAAATAAGGTGTCACAAAGCTTCTCTGAGAATAACTCACAAAAACAAAAGATCTTATGTCCTACATTTATACATCTGCTCAACACACCATGCTCTGATCTAATTCTTGCAGAGCCATCTAGTGGACGGATTCAGTACATACTCAGTTTCCAGAGATTAAGACATGTTTCCTTTTGCTTTTCAGAAAATACAGCACTGTAACAACACTGGAGCAGCGGCAACTGTACCACGATGACTTCTGTGCTGAGTACGATGAATATAGAGTTCTTCATGACAGAATTGGGGCCATCACGGAGATGTTTATTCAGTTGGGCTCAAAGATCAACACTCTCACACCGGGTACACAGGAATACAAGGTACTTTTTGTACTGAGAGCCTGCTGAAACTGCTTCTTTTAGGAAAATACCAAAGAGAAAGCATAGCATGTACAGCGCAGTAACCACTCTCTTTATTATTTTTCCAGCTCATGGAGGACCAAATACTACAAAAATATCGAAAATATAAGAAAGTAAGATATTTTTCAAAGGTTTATTAGCTTAATCACTTCTTTTGCAATGTCCTGACTTTGATGAATGCCATGTTTGTCATACTTGCATAGGTAAATTTAACAAAAACAGAAAAAGTTTTACAATGATTCAGAACTTTTTTTGTGGATTTAATGGGAAACATCCATCAATAAAAGTTTAACACAGACTCTATTCCCTTTCTGTTTTTTTTTTTTTTTTTTTTTTAGAAGTTCCCTGGATACCGGGAAGAAAAGAAACGGTGCGAGTACCTCCACAAAAAGCTGTCGCATATCAAATGCCTGATCGTCGAATATGACCGGACACAGGGATTAGTTTCCTAGTGACTGCACACTACCCACACCGGGTTGCAACAAAAGTGGACCAAAAGACTCCAGGTGGACCCAAAGACTGCCCAGCCAGGTCCCAGAGATGCTGAGACACTTTATTTTCCTCCACAGTGTCAATGTAATGGAGGGCGTAAGGTGCTCTGTCAAAAGTGGGCCGAGACCGCCTACTCGTGATCAGATGTTACCTTTTAAAGCTCTGTTTTTTCAGCTCTATTTATGGCTGGAAGAGCTGGTTTCAGTTCTGCTGTAAAACACGACAAGTAAAAAGGAGAGGCCAACAGATGTGATCCTTCCTACCTAATTACATAATTTGTAATTATATTTTTAAACTGGTTGAAACTTTAAAGTGTCAATTTGTAAGTAACTAAGTGATGGTACAATCAAACTTAGGGGTATAAAATAAATTCCACTGAAGTGTTTATATTTAAATACAAAAATTGTTAGTGGATTTTAAGATAGAAAATATATTTAGGATTATGAATTATTAATTTAGTACAATAATAAGAAACACGCTGGCAGCAACTGCATCGTGCTAGTTATAAGTGCACTGTAAGGCTTTTTAAATTAGGTTAAAAATGGCAAAACAACCATTTGTAGATCTCAGCTTGATTAAAATTTGCCATTCATCCAAAAACCTGCAGAACTGAGACCTGACCTAATATTGATCACTAAAGTAGGATATATGGAGAGTCAAAGGTTGAAACGTGTGTCTATGAACTACAATCAAAATTAATTTTAAGCCTGCTAATGTTCTGTCTCATTTCTCAGAAATGCCAAATGATTTCCACAGATAAAGCAGTATTTTTCTCTGCTTTTCATGCATTTATGAACTTAATTTAATTCAAGTGATATTTTCAATGTCATTCCATTTCACGTAACTTATTCAGGGACTTGCATAATTCATGTCTTTGTATGTGTGGGTCACTTGGGTGGATACAAACATATGGTGTAGCTCTTGGTTCATGTCAAAAAGCAGATTAAAGCTATGTTGATGAAAATCATATTGGTTCCACAATAATAGTTCCACTGTATATTTGCTGGATCTCACATACTGTGCACTTTTAGAGTCAGTTTCACAAATGTAGCCTACAGTGCCATGAACTGCCTTTTAATATGAAATGACTATCAACATACTCATCTCTCAAGTCCTCTGACCATAGCTTTACTTCCATAGAAATAATGCTGTTCACACTGTAGATGGATGATCGTTTTATTGTGTAATTTTACTGCTGTTAAGGCCCTGACTTAAGTTTAATGGAAGGTTTGGCTAAAAATAATGCATTACTAGCTTCTATGAGCGTTACATTAAGGTGTTATTCAAACAAATGTGACTAAAGTGTGTAATTTAAGGACTCCTAAGAGATTGGTCCTGTGGGTTGTTTTATGCCCAAATTGCTTGGTTTAAGTTGGTTGTAAGGACTAGTGAGAACACAAAACGGATCCACATAAAGATTTTAGACCCTCTGTGCATCTGATCGGTCATAACCTGTGCTTTTAATTTCACCTGAATAAGCCCTGGTTCTGATGTAGAAACTGGAATATTTGTAGTTTTATCTAAGCATTTGCATCATAGTAGCAGTACTCACACCTATTGTCTTAAAAGTGACTTGTAATGGATGAATGAAGTTAACACTTGCCTTGACATGCACTGTATGTCAGACATTTCCAACTTTCCTAGTTGCCCATGTCCCGAAATGCTCCTGGTTTATCCTGCAAATATCAGTGTTCTCAGATCATTTCCATGAATGGCTTTTAGTCCAATTGTAATTTTGGTTACTGGTTATTTGTTGTGTTGAAGTTGTCTGTTTTATTTCTTTTTGTGCCATGTACTTATGTCTTTTTTTTTTTTCTCCATCATTTGTCTTCTTGTCTGTGCGATAATCACAAACTGTACAGGAGTTTCTACTACCATCCAGTTCTGTCAGAGATTCAAAAACACAGAATACCTGCAGGAATCTATGTAATTTGCTTCTGATGATTTCTTTGTGCAGCAGCTCTATTGCCAAAAGTTTAGTGGCCAAATGTTTTGTTTGTTTTTTTCTTTTTGCAGTCAAACAGACATTTTTAAATGCGGTACTCTGATACGCTTGAAGGATTTGAGTAAAAATAGTTATTCTGTTTGAGCACATATGAAATAAAAAAAAAAATAAAAAAAAGTATTGGCACTGACAACTGGAGGAAAAACAACTGTAATCCCATAAAGTGTAAACCAGCTTCCAATGCTAAAAACCATTAAAAAAAAACAGGTATATAAAAAATGTATAAGGACAACTTAAGTGCATATCCAAAATTTATTGGGATTTTGCAGTGTTCTACTTAAAGGTTGAGATTTGAACATGGTTAGAGCAACAATGAGACTCTTCAAACCATAGTTTGCTGAAAGCAATACATTTTAAAACAATTTTCTTTCCTCTAACATAGTAAAAGTAAAATTACACGGGGGGGGGGGGGAAACTGTAAACCTGTGACAGTATCACCAGGACATGTGTACCATTTGTGGAAAAAAAAAATCCCATGTATCTTTTTCTTATTTACCTGTTGTAGGAGCCAACTACTGAAGGTGCCTTTTCACTCAGAGAGCAGGCAAATTCATCATACAGTTATTGTCCTATGGGGGAAAGAAAAACTGCCAGCAGTAATTACAAATCTTTAGCTTGACACTGTTGCCACTTTTTAAAAGTGCTTTCTTCTATTTTTACATAATCTCAAAAGATGCCTCTTTAAATGCACAAACAGGCATATTTAATAAATTAGATCACAGTTTTCCAGTAATACAGACTTGGTCTTATGGATTGAAGACCTATTTGGATATCAACTCAAAGCCAGGTCTGCTTAAATGTGCTCTGAAGCAACAGTCTAAGTTTCAGTTTAATTTAATCTTCATCTGCTTCCACATTTTTCCATTAAGGTGTGTTTTAATAGATTGCTGGTACTGGAAACAATAACACACCATTGGAAATGTGAAACAAAACCTTTTGTCAGATATATATTATTGCATTTTGTTTGCTTGGAACAAATTTATTTATTGCTTTTAATGTCTGTACATTTTTTGAGGGACTATTTTTGTGCATCGCTCATTCGTTCTTTGCACAGCCAAACTAAACCATTGTGAAAGAGACAATGGGATATACTGTATTTTTGCAATATCTGGATGAATATAACATCTCTTGAGAATGATCTTTTACAAAAACAAATGTATTGTTGTCTGAGTGAAACTGAAAATAAAAAGCTCTTCAATTGTACAAGTTGTCATTTGTCCTAAAGAGGGCAGTGTAACTACTTCTGAAAGGATTAAACACAAGAAACATGTTGCATGGAACAAACTCTTCTTGAACAGATACAATGGCCATGCATAGTTTTTCCTTTTAATCCTGTATCACTTTTCTTCGAGTTAACCTCATCAACAGTATTTATTGTTGAACTCCAGCAGATTCTTTCAGTAGCACATTCAAATCTAAGTGTTTTCCCTCGTTTGGCAGAGAAGCCGCTAACTCTTCAGTCATATCAGATTAGCAGCATTTTATCACAAAACAATAAGCACAGCAGAAGCAGTGGCCTGAACAATAACTAACACCCAATTTGTACTCCCATTATGTACCCACTCCTTATTTCATCTCCTCCTTCCCTTTCGTACCGGTAAACAAACTATTCCAGTCAACACTTGGACAATAGTTCACTTCTCTCAGAAGGTAAACATTCCTGATCAAATATGAAGATGGATTAGCTCATCATCCCTTTTCCTTAAATTTTAAAGCATCTTTTAAAAAGTTGGCATAATTCTAAATTTTCTGCAACTCTGGTAGTGATCTCTGGTGGTTGATTTTTGAGGAAAAAAGTTTATGACCTCTGATCAAATCAAATAACTGAGTAAAATTCTGCTGGTTACTCTCACAGAATCCTATTTTCTCACTATGTACAAATTGTTAATCACAAGTCACCAATGTGGGTACAAATTGTTACCTGGTCTGGACAAAACATCTTGCATAGTTAGGTGATGTATAAAACCCAATATATTTCAAAAGTATGAAATAGTAAAAAGGCCAGATGACCAGTAATCTTCAAACAATTCCACAAATAAAAATATTAAACATTTTTGAAGGCAGATGAACAACCCTGCAATATAAACAAGTTTTGTTTCATATTACTTGGGAGTCTATCAGGTGTGAAACTGCTGGTAGTGTAGAAAACAGGAGTGCAACAACGTCAAATCTTTGATCTTAGGTTGTTCAGAAAGTATTTCCTGAAGGAGGTTGCTGTTAATTATAATTAGAGATCCACCAGTTAGTCGGTCAGAAAAAGAAAATTGTCCCTTGACTGTCGCTCAAACCTGAACTTCTTTTACTAGTCATTAAATGCATCACCAATGAGCATTCACAAAATTTTAATCTGTAAGCAATCAACCAGTAGAAGGTACTTTGTACTTCCTACGAGGATATTAAATCACACATAGGTTAGGGACATGATTTGATATGTTAAAGAATTATCCTGCAATTCCTGAATTCACCTTCTTTGAAATGAACAAAACATCTCAATTGGAAGGTTAGACTTCAGAAAAAAAGTAAAAATTGCAATCTGACATGAAATGCTTGATTGATGCATCTCTAATTATATTATTGCTAGGAAGCCTTACCGTAAATTCAGATTCTGATACAAAACCACTCAACACAAGTATCACTGAAATGTATTACCTTGCCTGTTAATGCTAGCTTGTGTCATTTAAAATTAAATCACTGATCCGTTTTAACCTTTGGTCAAACTCCACCCTCCTTATCAGGGTTTGATCCTCAAAGTGGGTCGTGCGAGGGTTAAAATGCCAATCAGGGAAGATATCAGCCCACAAAATCCAACAACTCCTGCACTTGACTTGTAAATGCCCAGCCTATCCAAAGGAATGAAGAGATCGCAGATGTTTTTCACAGTGTCCAAGGCAACAGTCGGTTCTGATCTCAGAGTCTCCAGAAGCAGGAAAATAAGGGCATCCAGTTCAGGAATAACAGCTTCCGCTACTTCAGGACAGTCACTGAGATGCTGGTTCATTCTGCTTTTGAAGCGGTTATCTCTCCCTTTCTTTTGCATCAACTGGAGAATTACATACAGGTCTCGGGTCAGATTCATCACTAATGAGAAGAGGTAGTAGCGAGAGGCATTTATGCTCCAGCGTTCCTTGTTGATGCTCCGGATGAGGCCCACATTTTTGGCCCACACTGCATTATCACAGATAAAGTAGAGTGCCCGGTTGATGTTGGCCACTGTGAGGCACAGGCCCAGCAAGCGGTCAGAGAGCTGCATGGTTTGTTTAGCAGCCACAATGGAATTGGCTGCATTTCCTAGCCTGAGCACTGACAAAGGAGGCAGAAATGAAAGCAGGAATGAGTTCAAGAGAAACATGAAGTGAACATTCTGCTATAAGCAGTCCACAAGTATCCAACAGGTTACCAAACAGCTACACAAACTACATAAGTTTAGCATGTTAGCAACTCTGTAGTACAAAGGTCAAGGTTGACATTCATTTCTACTTTACAGCACTTTTGAAGCAAAGCTTTCCTGCTTTCAGAACCTCTTGGGGACCTTGTTCCAAATGAATGTTCCACCAAAATGTTTTGCTAAGAAATTATGAGAAAATAGTGTCTCTGAGTTAGTAAGTCAAGCTCCCAAAGCAGCAGAAAGTTGTGGTGGCAGCTAAGATGCAGAGGAGATAATTAAGCGGCACATCAATAGTGTACCCCTCTGAGCACCAGCTTTGGGCTTAGTAAGGCTCCACAAGAACAGAAACGGGAA